TGATGACGGCGATTCAGAAACAAAAGAGACGACAAGTAGTTTAGAATATGCAAGACCAATAGTTTATTATAGGGAGCTTGTACAAAATTCTTTAAACAAATCTAGCAAACAAGTTTGAAGAATGTTAGTGATCAAGTGATCGTAGAGAAGTAATTTGCTTAGGCTCAAGGTAGGTAGATATTTGATTGCGTAATCATGGGTTGGTTATAAACATGGTTTGGTATTCTGTGCGTTGTTATGTACGTATTTAGAACTTAATTTTGAAAGATGGTTTACCAATTATCAACAATATTATTAAAAGAAATTAAGGATACTGTTATATATAAGTCATATATGCTGAAGAGGATAAAGAAGATTGAGGAAACATCATACCAGTTGCGTATTCTAATTTTTAAAAAGTTATACCATGATATTAGAAATAGGTTAGATTCGACGTACTTTATATTAATACGTACTTTTGTTTTACAAAGATGTGTTAGTTCATTTAGAAAAACATGAACTGAAATATATCAGGTAACTATAAATAAAAAATGAGAAGAGAGATTTTTAAGAAATTAAAACAATTTAAGCTATTAAAGTTTTATTTGTAACTTCTTATACGACTACAAATGTTTATTTTTCAAATATTAAAGGGCATAAAACAGTATTGAGTGATTGATTTTATGTATAACAAAGAAAGTGAATGCAGAATTTTATAAGTATTGGGAAGTGGTTCATAGAAGGATAACACTTGTGATTGTTTTGGATCCTAGATACAATAAGGGTAAAGTTCAGTATATTTATGATACATTGTATGCATCTCAAATAATTATCGCAAAATCGGAGAATCAGATAGCTACTACAACTTGTCAAGATTTAATCGACGAACTACTTCTACAAAAAGAAGAAGAATATTATTTTTGGATACGAAGTTGATGTTGCATCATTGGATACGAAGACATACATATCGACAAAAATAAAATGGTCTGATCCGAAAGTAGAGTCGGATAATTATTTGAAAAAAAGATTACGTACTTATAAAAAAAAAAGAAGTAAAATTTTAAATTACAGATGTCCATTTTAAAATAATTAAATTAATAATAATATAGTTAATTAATTAATTTAAATTTTTAAAATTTCGAAACATCATTTAACATTTTTAAATTTTTTTTTTGGGTTAAAAAATTAAAAAAATACATGTGTTTGAAATAAATGAAAAACATCAAATACTAAATTATAATAAAAATATTAAAATTTAAATTATAACAAATACTCCAAAATTGATTTAATAATTTACAGCTCAAATATATAAATATATAAATAAATAAATAAATAATTATTGAAAAAAGAAACAAATTAAGAATGGCAAAGTAGTAAATAGAGGGAAAACGAGGGGGAGAAAAGAAGAGAGGGAATAATATATTAAAGAAGGGAAGCACAGTGTGTTCTTGCCCGATAAGCCCGGTGATTTGCTCGAATGGGGTATGAAGGTTTTTTTTCTCTTTCTTTCGCTCTTAATCCTTTTCTGTTCTCTTTAATACAAACACTTACTTTCTTTTTTGTATTTTTTTATTCTCTTAATTCTTTTCTAATCTCCATTTTCTTGGGATTTTTTTTCCCATAACTTTCTTACCCTTTTTCTCGCCTCCCAAACAGTCCAACCCTAGCAACACTACTCCCAAAACCTACAATTCTAGAGAGAGACCAGCTTCACCCACCTCAAATTTTATCTCTACCATTCAAACTCTTTAATGGGTAGTAGAGAAAAGGAGAACAAGAAGAAACCCAAGTGAGAAAATAATCTATATACAAGCATTAAGAAGCCACCCATTGTTTTTGTTTTTTTGTTTTCTAAATCTTTTTCCATTAGTATCTCAAGAGTTAATACCAATCTCTTCTTTGAATAGAATTCTTCAGAGGTCACCCATTAGAAGGTCATAACTCTCTGCAATTCTGTAATGAAATTTTCTTTCTTTTTTTTTTTTTTTTTCTTTTGGTTTTCATTTTCATGTTTCATTAGTTTCAGAAGATTTTTTCATGTTAAATAAAGTGATAATAGAGTAGTACTAGACGTTGATTGATGATATGGGTAATTAAAATGGTCTGATTTTCTTTCTGGGTTCTTTTTTTTTTTTTTTTGGTTTGGTTTTACTTTTTGCAGGAGTAAGTAATGATCTGTGAAGTTGGGTCTTCTTCAACCTTGAGCAGTAAGTAGCACACAGATCTGAAAGTTTTGGATTTTTGTACCAGTTTATAAAGCCAAACAAAGGTCTTCTTCAACCTTCAGCGAGCTGAAAGCAGCCAGACAAGCAACAAGAAATTTATTTTTTAAAAAAAGAAAACAAACCTCAATATTTTTGCCATTTTTATTATCCAAGAACCTGACACCTGTTAACCAAAACCCAACATTGTTCAAAGTAAGCAAGTTTAGAAACAATATATGCATGTATATATTTATATATATATGCATGTTATTAATTATTTTTAGTTTTTCTTTAAAGAGTTTGGTTTTAAATTTTGAAGCAGCTAATTCATTAATGTTTAAACTTTTCTTCCTTGGCATTTACTAATGCTATTCTTGAAACTAAACAATGGGTTTTTAGTGTCTGCCATTTTTAGGCTTTAAATACAAAAGAAGATCATAAAAGGGTCAGCTACCAATCAGCGAACCAGCTCAATTTCTGCTTCTTTTACAGCTTAATTGTAAAGAAGAAAGGAAGGTTGGATCGAGGTTTATAGGTGGCTAATAATGCTTTTTTGTTCTCTCTCTTTCTCTCTTTTTTTCTTTCTGGTTAATTCAGTTTTCTTCAACTTTTTTTAAAGTTTGTCATCTTTAAAAACCTTTGGATTTTAAGGGTGTTTAAAAGCTCTAAAAGCTATATAACTAGAAAACGATAAGAGAGAAAGTCAGATCTGTACTGTAATGAAAGTTGAAGACTTTCAATTCTATACACACATATATATATGTATATATATATATTTCCAATTTGTTATGTACGTATTTAAAGCATCAGATGCTTGTACTCAAATTTTTTTTTCTCTTAATTTTGTTGGTTTTTTTTTTTCCCTTCGTTTTTTCTCTGCAGGGTTGCATAGCTGCCAATTTTCAGGCTTTGCTTTTGAGCAGCAAAAAGCTTAAACAAGAGAGAGAGAGAGAAAGAGAGAGGAAGAGAGAGAGAGAGAGAGAGAGGGAGGAGGGGTCTAGCTACTGACTTGGACTATGATATATCATAGTGTAAAAAAAAGATCTTTTTATATCTATACAGTGTAAGTAGTGTCTGTGTTATCATCATCAATGCTGCATAGGACACAGCAACCCCATCTTCCCACCTTCACCACCACCATCACCACTACCATCACCCTTTCTTCTTGTTCTTCCTCTCTCTCTCACTAAATAACAAAACCCAGTTGCTCAAACCTAAAAAAGTTACCTTCTTGGTTGAGATAACAAAAAACCCAGTTGCTCAAACCTTAAAAAGGTACTTCTTGGTTGAGAAAAAGGCATGAAAGTGGTATGGAGGTGGAGGAGATTCAGACACACGCCTGTAAGTTCCCAAGGGTTGGCAATGGAAGAAAAGAATCAAACAAACTAGGTCAAAGAGAGAGTGAACAACAATACCCAGATGATGAAGACGATAGAGGGCTCATCAAAAGGGTTAGTAACAGTAACAGTAGCAACATTGGAGGTTGGCATCATTCAAGAATCATTAGGGTTTCTAGAGCCTCCGGCGGCAAAGATCGACATAGCAAGGTGTGGACTTCTAAAGGGTTAAGAGATCGTAGAGTGAGATTATCAGTGACTACGGCAATCCAATTCTATGATCTGCAAGACCGGTTGGGTTATGACCAGCCGAGTAAAGCAGTTGAATGGCTAATCAAAGCAGCGTCTGATGCAATTGCAGAGCTTCCTTCCATTAACAGCGCTTTCCCAGACACACCCAAGGACGAGAAAAGGGTAGATGGAGATCCTAATTATCAGCAAAACCAGACCCAGAACCAGAACCAGAATCAAAACCAAACCCAGAACTTGTCTATGTCTAAATCTGCTTGTAGTAGCAACTCTGAGACAAGCAAGAACTCGGGTTTGTCTCTTTCAAGGTCTGAGATTCGGGTGAACCGAAACAAGGCCAGAGATCGAGCTAGGGAGAGAGTTGCTAAGGAGAAGGAGTCTAATAATCATCAAAATGCAAATCCCATCTCTCAAAATTCGTCCTTTACTGAGCTACTCACCGCTGGAATCCATACACAAAACCCCACTGCAGAGGCTAATTTGTTTCATAAGGGGAGACAGTGGTCTACAACTGGAACTCCCATGGATTATTTTACTTCAGGGTTAGTTGGACCTTCGTCCAGAACCCATCAGTCATCTGGGTTTACTGGACAAATCCAGTTGGGAAGCCCTCAGATCCCACCATTTAATGTGAATGCTGAAACCCATCATG